AAATCTCATTCATTAAGATATCGTGTTATTAGAGAATTAGGATGTTTGAGGATTGGATCAAATGTGAATGGGTTTTGCAAAGAAAAATTATTGATCTGCTCCAATCGCCATGTATTCACAATTGTATAGCCCAATATAATGTGTTATATAATTTCTCATGTATGATTCACATAGAAAAGTAATAATTCAAATATCCCAAATTTTAAACGTGTGTGAGATAAGCACCCCAAACTTGCATATGTCATATAAATATCTTGAATTTTATAAAAAAAATATTAGCGCAGTGATCATATGATTTATCGTTCACAAATGTAAACTTATGATATTAAGTAAATAACTCAAACACATTCAACATTTATGAGAGTGCAATTAACATTCTTAGCTTAAATTTATGAAACTAACAACTAATATTGTCTTGGTCTATATTTATAATAATTGAAACACTTTTAAATTGAAATTTGCCAATACACCACTATTATGTATTAGTAAAAATCATAGAGTCTAAAACGTCATATTTTAAAATTTTAATCCGGGAATGTTTTTATAATGTTTATTTTAAGAAAATTGTTTAATACACCAATAAATAAAATAAAATCAAAGTGGAGTGTGTAAATAATGTCAAAGTCAATTACATATGTTAATGATGAAAGTTGTGTGATGACAAATAGCAGATTAAAAGCGTTGCAAATATGTATGTTGGGGTTAATATTATTTATTTCACAATGAAAGTTTAGAATATTAATTTAATCCTCACGAATGCTAAAAGTATTTTAAATTATGTACATAACACCATAATGTAACTTGGTGAAAGAAAAAAAAATATGATTATGTGCCAACACAACTTTTTATAATAGTATAAAGATTGAGTGTATATATATATATTACATATACAAGTTTGGGAGCTTACCTCACATTTTCTCAATGTTTGGGGTATTCGAATTATTTTTCCAAATAAAATATGAGTAATTATGTTCATCTAAATTGTTCATGGTGATTACAAAATATAAATAAGTAATGTTTTACTTAGAAAATAATGTATTATAGCATTAGTATTGTTTATTAATGTCTGACGATGTCAAAACATGACAGTATTTTAATATGAATTTATTCTTATTTAGGAGAAAAGAATACAAAACATTTTGAATATTCATGTTAATTTAATACTTAAAAAACTGTTTTAATATGAACTTAATATTTTTAAATTCTTTTTAAACTGCTTTTGAATTAAAATTTGCATATCATATAGGACGGAAGTAGTATTTTATTTTTAATAAACATTTTAGTATATTTAAATAATAAAGTATTTACAATGAAACTGTAAATAATTACTAGTGCTCATTTAAGATTGTAAAAATTACTTAAATAAGCATTAGGAATTAATTCTTAAAATAAAAAACATTTTAGCATTAGTATTTTATTTTTTGGAAACATTGTAGTATATTTAATAACTACAAGCGTTGGTAATACTTAAATGTGCATAAGTAAAATTTGCATATTTACAATAAAAACTGTTTTTGGCGAATCGCAAAATTCATTTTGAATATGAGAAAATTTATTATATAAAATTAGATAGTAAAAGAGAATTAGATTAACTGTTAAAAACTTAAAATAGTGTTTGAGAATCTTAAATTGGATCTCGATGAGTAATAATAATGATCATAACAAAACAAAATGGGATTTTGTATGCAATAGCTATGATATGAAAATATGTTATGTTCCATATTATGAAAATATAATACCATAATAATCCTTATACATATCTCAAGAGGATATTACGTTTTGGAGTCAAATAATATTATTACATATTACATGAGAAATATATTCTTACTCAACTACTTTTTCATGGAAAAAATACTCATTGCATAATAATACTGCGTATTTTTCTTAGAGTTTTATACTTTTATACCAACTTAATCTGTAAGCCTTGACATATGCAGCCTTACAATTTAGTAATCCATTTTATAATAATATGGAGTAGTTAGGAAGTACTTAAATCAATTAACCATAAACAATATTCGTGAAATTAATCAACTAATGGGGGCACTTGCCCCCAATGATTTTCTACTTTTATTTTACTTTTATTGTTTAATTTGATTAAAATAGGTAGGAGCCCCAAATAAAAATAAAAGGTGCCCCCAATAATAATACCATATTTCTGAACATTACTATCTTTCAATTTCCTAATCCTCAACTCTCTACCTGTATCATTTAGACCTATTATACGTAGTGTTTTAATTAATCAATTATGAAAGAAGTCAACAAACAAAATAACTTAGGGAGCAATATAATTGGTTATTGTCAAGTGAGAATTCAGAAGGTCATTCATGAAGTACCAAATAAAATTTTCTTCTATATTCCAATAAAAAATTCCCAGGTCAATACCTTTCTAGTTTCTACTACCCTTTGTTTTTACTATCTTGCTACTTCGTTGCGATTTTAATAACATATTTATAAATTGATAAATTAGTTCATATCTATTTCATTGTTAGATTAATTTAAAAATTTGAACATATTAATTTCAGTTTTATAAGGGTGCTAAATTATAATAGACTTTTATTGTGTTATATAGACTCGATATACTTATTTTTTTTAGTTTATACCTAATTTAGTTTGGTTTTAAGAAAATGCTTTCCAATTTAATATTCGTAAGTATAAAACAACTTTAACGAGATACTTAAAAAGAAAAACATTATCCAAATACTACATATTCATTTAAAATGTGTTGGAGAACGTTCAAATGTTAAATTGTAATGTTTCAAGTAGTAGATATTCACTCAAAGTATTTATAAGAAATTGATTTTATCAATGTGAGAGCTGATTGAAATGCCATATCGCAGAGTGCCTTGCGGCATCCGACGTCAGGGAAGCGATGAGGATGACCTCGAGATTGGCAGAGGGGTGAAGTCTAAGGTATTTGACCGTCGAAATTCCGATCGAGCGGTCCGGAAGAGCTAGCCAGACAGTCAGACACCTTGCCTTGCTTTAAAGCAAGACAGAGGCTCCGAATCCGATTGAAATGTAGTCTAAAAGAGGACAAAGACACAAAGTATTCTGTTTGTATTTTATTTGTTATGTTGAAAAGGATTTGTTTGATATAGTTAGAAATAAATTTGCGATGGTTTTTTTTTCCACAAAATAAAACTCGTAGAGAGCCGATGTAACAAAATGTAATACTTTATAATGTTCTAATGTTGAATTAATTCATCATTTGGACTTAACTTATACTTAACTATTCAAAAAATATCTTATTTTCTCTTAACAGGTGCCCCCAACTACTAAACGTCCTGGATCCGCCCCCTGCATGAACTTTAATACATTTGAATCAGCATTAACTCAAAAACATTCCTTTGACAGCAGGGCCGGTCCTGGCATATAAAAGGCCATGTGCAAGATTGAATATGATGCCCTAAAGTATAAAACACTATAGTAATACTTCCACCGTTTTTAAATAATAGTTTCCTTAGATTTTTTGTGGGTTTTAGAGAGAAAATAGTAGGTGTAGTATAGAGGTGCAAGGTAAATGAAAAAGTAAAAAAAAAATGAATATATTAAGAAAGTAAAGTGACAAAGTATGAAAAAGAAAGTAGTTACAAGTTCTTCCAAACTGTACAAGGGCTTTGAGCTAATTAGTGTAACTAGACCTTGTGAAATAAAGAAATTACACAATTGTAATTAACAATTTCATTTTAATTACATATAAATATTACTATTTAATGTTTGTATTTAAAAAGGTACTAAGATAGGAATTTTCAATCAAATAAATAAAGATTTATTATATTTTTTTATACATCAGAAAGGAAAAATATTTATTATATTATATAGACTATTTAAAATTTTGGGCCTTCTGAAATCGAGAGGCCTTGTGCGGTAGCACTTCTTGCACACTCTCATCTACGGCCCTATTTGAAACCATAATAATCAAACTAAATTGAACTTTAAATAGACCAAAGTACCAAACTAACTAATTAAACAACTTCAAGGCAAATTAGACCAAATGAAATCGAGGTTTTAAATTTTTAATACAAGAGTACATGTTTTTTCTTTTTAAACTCTTACCGATCATAAAAAAACATCACTTGACAACGAAACAGACTCGATTAATTGACCACTTGGTCTTTCTTTATCGTCATTTAATATACCTAAAATCTATTTAGCCTTTAATACCTATTCTAAAAATGTGAACGAGTAGTACCACTTTATTTTAACTTCACTATTAGTCGAAAGAGAATTGTAAAACCAAAGTCAAAAGCTAAGAACAGAATTAATTGCGGTCTAATTTTTTTCCTATATGAAGTTTTTTTTTGGCAAAATTTCCTATATGAAGTTAGAAAGGGATTTTAAAAAAAAATAAACTCAAAAGGATGAAAAATTAAAAGAATTATGGGTATAAGGTAGTGAAAATATTCTACTATTCAAGTGTTCTAAACTTTTGAGAGTTGTGAACATAATACCCAAACTTGCATGTATGGTATAAATATCATAAACTTTATGACAAAGGTAGTAGTGAACATAAACTTTTTCATTCAAAAGTGTATGTTTACAATAGTAGGGGTGTTTTGAATTGACTATGCTTCTGTTTATTTTTTTAAAAGCAGAAACAAAACCAGTTTTTCAAAAGATAATCTCCTCCGACTTCTAAACAAAACTGCTTCCGTGAGCAATTTGGAACACCTAGAAGTACCTCTGCACTTCCACCAAACACTTCAAACACCTCTTAAGGGCATAACTTAAGTACTCCAGTCTTCAAATATTTAGAAGTGTGCACTTGACATCTTCATTTGTCATAGATAATACGAGTTCATGGCACATTGGCACCTAGATCACCCATGTTTCGAAGGTTTGCCATATTTGAGTTACTACGTATTATTTTCTAATATTATTTCTCTTAGCTATATAAAATGTTTCTAATCCCGTTTCTTAAACAAAGTGAAGCGGGGTTTCTTAGCAACGGGTGCAATTGTGCAATTATCAAAAGCCCAGGGATGTCCGCATCCAAAAATTCAGAAGCACAGCTTCGATTTTGATCAAATTTATGTTCGGGTCCAATAAATACAGGATATGAAATTGGCCTAATCTCATCTCAGATAATCCCAAAAAAAACACGGCTTCAAGTTTCCACCAAAACAGATGGTTATTAAAAAAATTAAATCAACAACCGCAGTTTCATGTTCGACCAAAACAGATTCAAATTCCAGGATTGTAGTTTCAAAAAAAGATCAATTCAGTCTAAATGTTATGTCCTACCGAGAAGATGGATAAATTAACAGCTGAGCAAGTGAGATTTAAACTTCTCCAGCTCAGCCAAAACCTCATCTTTTGGCCTGTAAATGAGGTCCATCATTCTCCATATCTGCACAGAACAAGTTACAGAAGATGAGGAACAGGCACAAAATTTTTACGTCGGCCTGGGGCATACTAATAATACGCAGAAGGCAATAAAAGTGTGGGTTTTTACCTGCAAAGTACCACCTCCACCCGTGCTTTCACCGTCATCAGAAACACTAACAATAGTCCATGGATCCGAAGCATTCCAGTGGAAATCAACAACTTTATCCCTAAGTACATCCACATAAACAGCAGATCATTACAATATGTAATAAATTTGGAAATATGAAGTATAGAGCTCAATGACATTGATATGAAGATTGACTTTGAAATTTAAAGTTGAACTGCAAAAAGGACATTGCATCCATGGTAGCTGGTGTGAATTGGGATGTGTTAGAAAAGGGGATAATATATGAATTTTAACGAGATCCAGTTTTCAATTGCTTCCAAAGTGTCCATTTTGGTAACAGTGAATATGACTAAAATGACAGAATTACAGACTTAAATTTGCTGAAATTTTTTAACTAACTAAATGACTAAATTGTCCAAACAAACATCTAATACATATTTTCTTAACAAATGAATGTAAGGATTTCTAAGAATATGGTACATATTAATTCATATAAGCAACTTCACCCAAAAGAATACTGAACTACACTTTTTTATTACTATCAACTAATTCAGACATTCAGCCAGCATAATCAAATAATTAGTGTTCGGTAACCAATATGGATCATAGGCCTGAGTACCATGAAGAAAAGGCCTCCGACCGGCACTGGTTCTATCCATAGTGTTTTCATAAGATCAAATATTTTCTTCCTTTTCCATGTTATCATATTCCTCTTTAATATCATTTTCCTTGTGTTGAGAATGGAAGATTATAGAGCAAAAGTACTGATAGAATTTATTATTAACATGGAGCAATCCATTACAGATATAAGAAAGCAGATGAAAAGTGCTTAGGAATCCCCCAAACCTGTGTCCAGCATGACGAAAGAACAAGCCTGAAGGGGAATTTGCAGGTTTTGGTTCTTCATGTTCCTCCTTACCAATCTGACCATAACATTTATTAATAAAAAAAATGATACATCATTTTAATGATGAAACACGGATAGTTCCCTTCAAACTTCAAAACTAAAAAGAACAAGTATGATAACTCAAACCTTCTCATGATCCCAGATGTTCAAGACACCATCCTCCGCAGAACTTCCAAATACAGATGACTTGTCTGGAGACCACTGAACAATTTACAAGTTTATTTCTAAAGATTATTGTGTATTATGGGGAATTTGTTCATGAACATATTAATGAAACCCATCACATGAGATCAAATTTTCCAGTTTACCCTTGTACAACATAAAAATGTGTACAAATGGGTATGTCAAATCATAAAAGGATAAATTGAGAAAAGTATAAAGATAGTGATGCTTAAAAAAGTAGAAGTAATCATGGGAAAAAACTGAAAAGGGTAGTATGACTTATGAAACGGGATGGGGGAGCAGATTACGAGTATATAATACCTGAACACATAGAACAGCAGCAGAGTGACCTTCAAATATGTGGACAGGAGATCCTACTCCTCCAGAAGTGAGTTTTCGACGATCAAACATACGAACTGAGTTATCAGCAGACCTGAATAAACAGGATATTCACATCAATTCCTAAAAAAGATTGTATATGCTAATGGTGACACTAGTTCAACTGGTTAATATTATGCTAACAAGTTTACCCCAGATAAATAAAAAATGATAACAAATGTCTACCTATAACCAATCAAATGAAGAATTTAAACAGCAAAGTCCTGAAAGTAAAATACTTAGCATGCATTACCCAGTCAATATAAGATTAACGTCAAATGAGTTCCAGTCAACACAATGGAGATCAGCATTGTGGGCCTTCTTAACCTGCGAAAAACAATATTCCCATATAACCATAGATATCTTAGCAGTTAGCACAAGAGCACAACTAGGATTGACCTAATGGTAGTATTGTAGTAATAAGGTTTAGCCATTTAGACAAGAGATCAGTAATTTGATCACAAGGCTCTACTTTCAATCAGATATTCCCAGGACCTTCTAGATGAAGTTCTAAGAAATAACTGTGTCTAAGATTAAAGCACCAAATCAGAGAATGAAATGCACAGGTTGATAACTGTAAAGAAAGAGCATTTTGTTTGATACTACCTTTGTCCCACTAAGGATGTTTTCTTTTGGACTGTTTTCAGTCCCAGACCAGACCAGACCAGACTTAAACAGACCAGACCAGACTTGGATAGTTATAAAATACACAGAGACCAGACGTTTACCAAACCAGACCAAACCCGTTCAGATCAGACCAGACCAGATCAGACCAGACTTAACCAGACCAGACCAGCAAATTTCAGTCCAAAAGAAAACATCCTAACATTGGGACATGAGGAGGTGGTCCGGTTATTAAGAAAAGTGTGTTTATGCAGTTGATATTGAATTGATATAGTAAAAATAAAGTAAGAATGATTTAGAACCACCCAAAATTTATCAAATTTGGTATGGGACAATCTTAGTGGGACGGTCCGAAAGGAAAGATGGACAATCTTGGTGGGAAGGAGGGAGTAGTTAAAAGGAATGGCAATCTATTCATAATTCAGATTCCGCCTAAAGAGCACAGGATAAAAGTTTTCATAGGCAGGCAGTCATCTTTTACATGTATAAACTGAACTAGCCACATAAAAAAAGAAAGTTCAAGAGATAACCTTCATGATTGGAGCTGAACCTTGTCTTGAATCCCAGAATATTATGCAAGAATCATCACCAACACTACAGAACTCCTGTGCACTATATCAAAAAAAGAAAAATTAAATGTTAGGTTCATGATACAAATTTTCTAACTTTGCAATTTTTTTCCAACATGGTAGAAAACTTTGATCATGAAAAAACATTAATATGGCAATCAGCTAAAGTAACCAAAAAAAGGTAGTGCAAACTGAAGGAAGCCTTCTTAGAGTTTGAGATGAGCAGTGCCAGACCAGAGCCAATTCCATGTCTATACTGAACTATAATGCATATGGGTCAAACTAAGGGTTAGAAGGTTTAATCCAACCATTTACCTGGTTGAACTCAGTTCATAGCATTATAAACATAACTATTGTGTTCTATTATTTGCAATGTGGCCAAGTTTAAACAGATACTATATTTATTATTCATACTACGTATTATTTTTGTCCTAAAAATGCCTCTTAATGTGTGTAGGAGAGATAAATTTTATTGAAATGTAGGGTAGAAGTTTATACTCATGCATAATAAATGGTATAGTAGAAGTTTACTATCAGTACACACATTTATTATTTATGTTACTCAATTTATTCTTAAGATAAAAGAAACTAAATGTGTCAGGATGCAGATATAGATAACTCAAATACCTTGAAGGGCAAAACTGAACATCTTCAACAGTATCATCATGCCCTTGGAAAATACCCCGAGCTTGAACAGTAGGACTGTTCCCAGGCAGCTTACTGTTAATGGATCCAGATCCTGGAGACTTTTTATCTCCCTGTTCTGTTGCCAAGGTAGAGATATGATCATGAATGCTCCACAGGACTACTGACTTGTCCTTCCCTGTCAGAAATACAATTGTAAATCCAAAGCATTACTTTAAGCATCTACACAATATTATATACATCAAACTGTCATTTGCGTTTGTGCATCAACATCAGAGGCAGGGTAAACCGTTAAGCAGACGAACAAAGATTCAACTACTTAAAAGCTGTATAGACAGCAAAATACTTCGAAACTAAAATATGTTTAGCAGCAGTTAACCTCCAGATAGCACAAAGGGCTCTGTCGGGCACATGGCTAGTGCAAATTCAGCATTATCTTGATGACCTGTCAACACCTGCAAGTGGTACACAGATCTATGCCACATAACTGGAGGAAAACCAACCATAGTAGAATGCTAAGGTCATTTCATGCAAAATGCCTGAAGTATTGATACAATATCTTGAACATAAACATCCGATCGAAATATAAATTAAATTTACTCTAAAGACTAAAAAGTAAAAGTAACATGTTGATGGACTTCAATACTCCCTCCGTCCCATTGGACTTTGCCAACTTTCCCTTTTTGGTTGTCCCAAAAAACTTTGCCACTTTCCTATTAAAGCAACTAATTTGTGGTTCTGCACATTTCTCTCTCCTCTGCACAAATCTCAACCACACAGTTTTTACTATTCTTATTTCGCACATACTTTGCACTTGGCAAAGTCCACCGGGACAGAGGTAGTAACTATTATAGAAAAGCATACCAAATCTGGGCGAGAATTGGCAGCTCCCAAAGCAGCATTTCGATTGGGCTGAGAATCAACATCCCATATGAGAACCTGGTTCCACAAGTTTAAGAAGCCCATGAAATTGTGTCAAGAGATTAATGTTAATTACAAATACAAATAAAGAGAGCATACAATTGGAAAAAGGATTGTCAAAAATGGTTATGAAAGGCATCGAACCGAAGAAAACACTCACATCAGGACTGTCAGTGTGTGTTGCCACAATCTTACTATTCTGAGGCAACTCTCTAATTCGATTTACCTGCAATTATTCACATAAATTTTGAATCAACTCTAAGCAAAAGTAGGTATTACGTTCCTAAAGCCTAAGGAATCTTTCCAGTGTCCTACGATGTATAAAGAATGACCTTCATTGATTCCCCTACACAAATACATAGGATGTGAATATCCATTCATGATTCATGTAGTGCTCATGTTTAAAGAGAGGTTAACTAAACTAGAATATCAAAACTTCACACCAAACAAGAGAATGTGACAAGTAGACTAAATCAATATAAACACTCTTTAAACTTTTTAAAGAGAATGGAAACAAAATGGAATTCGCGCACCTCGCCGGGATGTATAATTGTCTTGTGCTTCTTTACAAAAGGAGAGCGTGCTTCTTCATTGAACTGCAGCATGGGAACCCAATATGTAATATAATAGGAATTAAAAAAAAATCAACCTATTATATACAAAAATATACCTGTGCAATGTGCTCAGCAGCAGCAACCCTGGGTTTTACGATTTCACAGTTTGCTATGACAAGTGTATTTGGAACACTACCATCAGTCTAGCATGGGGAAGCAAGTTCAGAAATAACCAAAGGTTAATTAGCAATTTATCACTAATAAACTGTAAGCTGAGATGGCACAGCCAGGCTACATCCAACAGCAACCCACCATGTCATATTGCAATTTCTCCACCTACCCATTCATAACCAGAGGTAGGCACACTTTTAATAACCCACCCGGCGGGTGGGGGCCCTCACCACTTTTATAGTAATAATTATTTAAACATATCAATACAAATTAATTTCACAATTGATGACATTAAAATTCAATATCTATAATAACAAAGTACGTAATAAAAGTATTCAAATGTAATTGAACAAAAGATTATTCAATTTTTGTGAAAGTTATATACCTGTCGAAGTACCAAATAAATTATCACTCAACTAAAAATTAATTTTTAAGATGATTAGAAAATGAAATTTATTCAATGCTTAAAAAATAGGAAGAAATAGAACAACAACAAAGGTGGTGAACCTATATTATCTTCCTAATATATGCACGCATAGCGATAATGTGTAAGCATGTAATACCTTGTATATTTCATTTCTAAGAAAGTACTTTAAGTCACAGTACATCAGGTCAGTGATAGCATGCTTTTACATAAAAGATCTGTGGAATGACTCAAAGTGGAGCAGTTTGATTTTTTTTTAAATCCACCCCCACCCACTAACACCCATAAACTCTTACACATGGGGGGGGCTCAAGTTTGGGTGCAAATATGTGTGCTGTGTGGAAGTGGGAGGAAATTGTCATCTGTGGTCCTATAGATTTTTTTCAAAATTAATCAAAACTCCAGGTGAACTATCAACCTTAAATAAAAGTCTTAGAACAATACAATTGTTTGTGTGGGCATATTTAGTACTTTAGTATAATATACTTCGAAGCAGTGGCGTATCCACGGTTTTTTTTTTGGGGGGGGGGGGCAGAGCGGGGGAAATTTACACTATGAAGGTTGCTATCGTACACATTTCACAAATAATCGATTACGTACAATATGATAGCGATATTACAAAATAACTATAAGTAACAACACTTGTTTAAAAAATATTATGACGGATTTTACTTTTCATTTTGTCTAAAAACTATCTTTATATTCCTTTTAAAAATGATTTTTATTGCTTATGTAACTTCACATTTATAGTAATCCCTCGTCCCAAAATGATTTCCGATGTCAACTTTTCTTGATTAACACAGTTTCATTTTATTTAAACATTTAGCATTCAATGGAGTTCCCAAATATGTAAAGCAACTTTTTATGGAAAACCAAATATGTAACTTTTAACTAATAAAACCGATTTAACTATCTGAAAAAACATGAACTAATCAATTCAGGACGGATGAAATAAGAACTATTAATCGTATAATTTGTACAGTCAAGAAATTAGATTACATACTACATGATATCAAAGATTAATACTGGACCTAGAAAAGTATCCAAAAGTAAGCAAGGTTGGGACTTGGGACAGTTTTTAAGAGGGAAAAGAAACAAACAAAATTTCCCTCTTCAGGGAATCAAACCCATGTCAATTATGACTTTGCACATGATCAGCGCTTCAACCAGTCAGCAAACACAAACACATGTTACCAAATGGATATTCTTGATGTGTGTATATATATATATATCTAAAATATTGGGGTTGGGTTGGGTTTGGGGGGCGCAGCTGCCCCCACTGCCCCGGCCCTACATACGCCCCTGCTTCGGAGTAATTATGATTTGGCAGCAGGAGAAAATACTGATCTAAAATATACAAAAAAATGAATGGCATTCATTAACTACCAAAATCAATCCATTATATTCTCGTATTCGTGTCGATCTACATTTCAGAGCAACTAAGTTTGTCTCTTCGTAGAACCACCCAGCACCAAACTTTTTAAAACAAAAAGGAATTGATGCAAATAAAAAAAATCCAGTAATTTAATAAAGTTTGCATCTTGAAACAGTCACACAAGCCGCGCTGAAAAGCTAGTAACAGAATATAAGCATTTAAACGGTTCCATAAGATCAACTTGCCTGCTCAGATAGGTAAAGCCGTTGACGATTCTTGTATGTTGCTTGCTCCACTTGTGGCCCCCACCTGATAGAAATGGCAGTGGCATTTGTTATTAGGATAAAAAAATGTAAAATCTCAAATACTCCGTATGTCATAAAATGGTGAAAACTTCACTCCATGCTATTGCATTGATGTAGCAGTACCGAGACAAATAAAAAGTATAAACTAGGCATATATGATCTAAAAGCAAACATGACCCCTTAATACATAATTATATTAAAACAATATATTTTCGAAAATCTCAAAATTCGAAGGCTTTCACTTGAGTACCTTAAACAATTTCAGAAGAATAGACAAATTGAAGTGTGATTCGTCTATCAAATATAAAAATGAAAAGGGGTTAAATTACAAATGACTAATCCATTATGTTTCTAGGAGCAAGCAGAACGCTAACAACAACAGGATCACGCAAAACAAACATAAAACACCAACGTTCCAGTTAAACAAAAGCAGCATAGATATTGAAAATGGTAAACCCTAGAGTGAGTGAGAGGTGGAGAAATGCCGGACCTGCAGGAGAGAGATGGCCACACAAGGTTGTGATTAGCTAGCCAGTCGTAGAGAATGGGAACCAGAGACTTCCACTGAGTGTAACGCTCGTTCACGGACGGCTCGCCGCCTTTTCCTGCTCTCTCCTTCATCCTCTGAGCGTATCTTAACCTGTCTCTGGGTAGCTCTCTTTGAACCTCTTCTCTCTGGCCCGCCTTCGCTTTTCCCGCCTTCGCTTTTCCCGCCTTGGTCGGCTGCCAAGGACTTGCTCTGCAACTGATATGAGGTGATGGTCGTTTGCTGCTGTTGCCCAGGTTTTCCACTGTAATAATTTCATGATGTTATAAATGGGTTCGAAAATGCCGTACAAGAGTTACCCTTACATTCATTTCTATATCAGGCAAAATCTTACTACCTCCCTTTTTTCTAAAATGCTTCCTCCTTCCCGTAAAGATGTTCCCACTTTCCTTTTTTGGATGTCCCAAAAAGAAGTTTCCTTTTCCCTAAATGGAAAGTTATCCTACATTAAAATATTGTCAAACAATGCAAAACAGTGCCAAACAGTGTCAAACAGTGTCGAAACAGTAAAATTTACCTTCTGGTAAGTTTATTTCCTTAATATGTGTGTAGGTCAAACCGGGAACATCTTTGCGGGATGGAAGGAGTATTAAGAAAAAAGAAAATGACAGGTGATAAAATATTTTGAAAGGGATATAAAAAATAGAAGAAAGTAAGTAAGGAAGTAACCAAGAAACGTATAAAAAGTATGAGAGAAGATGAAAAGTATTGAAAAGAATGTAAAAACTAGAAAACATAAAGGTAATTGTGAATTTTTAAAAAGAAAATTAATAATAATAAAAAAGTGTCACAAACAAATAATATGAATGGAGTCCATCTTTAAAAATATTTTCTATCTTTAAAAGTTTAGACTAATGCGATCTTTATGGGATATTACCCGAAATAGGACTAAAAATGTTTCAAAATTCCAAAATAGGACTAACATGTTTTTATTCCCAAAATAGGACTAATTACTGCCATGTTTTGGCAGTACCAGACTTCAAACATGGCAGTATATTCCAAACTTGGCAGTAATTGCTCCTATTTTGGGAATTAAAAACATGGCAGTCCTATTTTGGAATTTTCAAACTGTTTTAGTCCTATTTCGGGAACTTTCCCGATCTTTATTCAATCACTTATCCTAACCCACATTGTTTCTACAATTCTCTTTCTATGTGTATTGCACATGACATAATCTTGACAAAATCTTATATAAAAATGTCTCTAATTTCAAAATATGAACACTATTATTATTCTCAAACTAAGAATAATTATTGTAATCCTCAGCATAGACCCTTGTTTTGTCGATTAGACTAACAACAAGCAGCCTAGTTCCCCTTCTCAAACATCTACCACAAATCAAGATGAGCACTTTTATACAGTGTTCTCTCAATTTTGCAACCTTGGCCAAGACCAGATGGATAGATATTCACTAACTAGTCAAGTATGGACTCCCATGTACATGCAAACGAGTATAACACGCATGTTCGTTCGTCGCGACACAAACATCATCAACACCATGTGTCATTCACAAATACGTTGTGGGGTCTGGTCCGTACAATAATGGTACATTAAATGCACTCCTCATTTGTTCTACTATAAATATCCTACGCTGGATAGTTGTAGGGGTTCGAAAATAATTCATTACGAAACACTTTTCTCGTTGTTACTTGGTTATATATTCTCTCTAGAATGCCATTAGCTATTTACGATATAAATATCAAGTCGATTTTCTAGGAATCGAGCAAAACGCTAACAACATATTCAAATAAAAATAAACAACATTGCACCAAAGTTCGAGTTAAAAATGAAGCGTGAGTTTTGAAAGATATGAACTATAGAGTGATAGAGGGATAAATCACGGATCTTCATAAGATTCTATTAATCGAGCAAGTAATAGACTACATGATTAGTGATTTTGGAATTATCATAAAAGAGTTTGGAGCTGAGAAATCCTATTTGTACATCAGCATCTTTTGAGAGGCAAAATCTTCTATGCTCAAAGACAAGATTTGTATGGATACACATCACAAATATTCTACTCACAGACATTGTTTATAGGTGTTATGGAAGTGATTGCCTAAAATATAATTCATAACTAAGCCATTTCTTATTTGTATTGCAAATTCAATGTATATTCAGATATATCTTTTCTTCTTTGATTATATATTATCCTTCACAACTTTGGATTTCTCATTTGACTCATTCGAGATTGTGTTATATTTTTTAAAGGATCGTAAGAGTAAACAGGGGAAAACATTTTCAAATCTAAAGGCACTGTGTAGTTAGATATAATGATGCAAAGTGGTGATTAGTTAGATTAGCCAGCAATTACAGAGTACTAAATTGATAAAGGTTAAGAGGACTTGAAATATTTACTTCTTGTTTTGATGGATGATTCAAATGAACTGTGTGTCGTTGGGTGCTTTCTTTTTCAATGAGTTCTTCAGATTCGCCTTTTGCCTAAAAAGTGAAACTCTAGAAAAAAATGTGTCTACCACGCAAAAACTCCTCAAAGTTCTTATAATGATAGAGTATTAGACATTGCGCTAATAAAAAAGCAGTACTCTTAGGAGAATCTGGGAGGACGAAATGGGTAAACAGATGGCCCAGTAAAGATATTACTATATTAAGGTTAATTGTATAAAATGCGTGAGACGACGTGAAATAGACAATATGATAAGGCTATAAGCAGTCATTGAAATAATGTTACTCTTATGGTTATGAAGTTATTAATACAATATGACATGTATGGTTGTGTGATCAATCCGTATTTCGATACACATTTTATGTATGTTGCCATCACCTTAGACGCTCTTCTTTGATCAAATTGTATCACGTAAAGTTAAATTAGTGATAATCACATTTTACCGGGTTTGTCATTTATTTATTATTTGTAGTTGTTGATTTGTAAATAAAATCCAACCTAGATAATTGTAGTAATGATATAGAATCCAAGTGTTTAACAATACGCTAAAAGCAATCATTGATAGTGTAGTGTGTTCTTCTCCCTTAATAGAGTAGAGAACCAATGTCACATGTCGATTTAGAAAATGCTAGCTAAAGGTGCAGAGCACTTGTCAACAATCCCCCAGCATACACCACATTTGCTAGCACATCTTCTGGTCATAGGTGGCTCTTGTCTAGAAATATGGGCTATAGAATGCTAATTTAGACTAACAACAATGGAGGAATATGTTGAGAAAAGAGCGGCATTTAAGGACACCATATATAACGCTCATTTGTCCGTGTGATAATATAATGGGAAAATTAACTTAAATACCCCAAACTTTGAAGGTGTGTGAAGTAAGTACCTCAAACTTGTATATGTAACATATATACCCCGAACATTATATAAAAGAATTATTTTATCATTATATAAAAGAATTATTTTAGCACAATGACTGTATATTTTTCTTCCACAGATGTAAATTTACGGTGTTGAATACACGATTTTAATAGATTTTAGCATTCATGAGGATACTATTAACATTCTAAATTTTCATGTTGGAATAAATAATAGGCTTAAATACGTTTTTAGACCCTGCAAATATGCCACACTTTGTTTTACCTAAAGCGCTAATAAATAGTGATACTATTAGGAGGATTTGGAATGGTGAAATGGTTAAACAAAAGGCCGAAAAAATATATTACTATATTAAGGTGAACTTTATTAAATGTGTGAGATGGCGTAAAATAGTCAAAAATGATAAGGCCGTAAGCAATCATTGAAAGCACATTATTTTTATGGTTATGTAGTTATTAATAAAACGCGCATCGAAATTCGGACAAGAGGTGTGGACGCAGTGCACACGAGCCACAAACGCCTTGTGCGGAACTTGGAAATTTGGACTTCTCAATTTACTCATTTGAGATTGTGTTATATTTTTTGAAAGATCATAAGAGTATCTAAGTAAAAAAAAACTAAGAGCAGTAAGAAGATGTAATTATAATGACGCAAAACTCATTAAGATGTAATTATAATGATTATAAGAGCAATTGAAATATTTACTTCTTGTTTTGATGGATGATTCGGATGAACTGTGTACAATATATTGAGTACTTTCTTTTCAATGAGTTCTTCTAGTGATCCTCTTGCCTAAAAGTGAATTTCAAACAAAATAAATTGTATCAACAATGCAAAAACTTCTCAAAGTTCTTATAATGATAAAATGTTAGATAAAACGTTGATAAAAAGCAATACTATTAATAGGACTGGTAGGGTGAAATGGTTAAACAGAAGATCGAATAAAGATATTACTGTACTGCGGTTAATTCTATTAAATGTGTGAGACGACGTAAAATATTCAATATGATAAGGCCTCAAGCACAAATTGAAAGAACATTATGTAATGGTTATGTAGCTTTTAATAAAATGTGCAGATATCGAAATTCACACCGGAGGTGTGCACACAGTGCGCACGAGCCGCGCACGCCGTGTGCGGGGGCTTAAAACTTTGGATTTCGATTTCGACTCATTCAATATTGTGTTATATATTTTGAAGAATCACAAGTGTAAACAAGTAAAAGAAAACAAAACTAAGAGCATTAATATGTAAATATAATGATGCAACGTGGTGTTAGTTAGATTAGCCAGCAAGTACAGAGTACTACATTATTAAAGGGTAAGAGCAATTGATATATTTACTTCTTGTGATGATGGATGATTTGGATGAACGGTGTACCTTTGAGTACTTTCTTTTCAATGAGTTCTTCTAGCGATCCTTTTGCCTAAAAGTGAAATTCTAACAAAAAAATGTATCAACCATGCAAAAACTTTTCAAAGTTCTTATAATGATATAATGCTAGATAAAGCGCTGTTAAAAAGCAATACTATTAGGAGAATCTGGAAGGGTGAACAGGCTATACAGAAGGCCGAATAAATATATTTCTATATTAAGGTGAATTATATCAAATGTGTGAGATGACGTAAACTAGTCAATATGATTAGGATGTAAGTAGTCATTGAAAGAACATTATTTTTATGGTAATGTAGTTATTAATAAAATGCACTTCGAACTTTGGACGGGAGGTGTGCACGCAGTGCGCACGAGCCGTGCACGTCTTGTGCGTAGGCTTGGAACTTGTCTCATTCAAGATTGTGTTATATTTTTTGAAGGATCATAAGAGTTAACAAGTAAAAAATCAAAACTAAGAGCATTAAGATGTAAATATAATGATGCAAAGCTGTTATTAGTTAGATTAGTCTGCAAACACACGGTACTACATTGATAATGGGTAAGATTGTAAGAGCAATTTAAATATCCACTTCTTGTTTTGA